TTGATTTGAGGATTATTATTATTATTGGACAGTTAGTATTGGAAGTTGCCTATTAAGCCCTGTGACTTTGTTGATTCTGTGATGTCTGTTTTCCCAGTCCTAATTTCTGTATCAGCCCTCCTAGCATCATCTACTTTTTTCCCCTGAAGAGTTTTCAACGTGCGTATCCCTCTCTTCAGTGTCAAGCATTTCTTATAGTGTTCTCTTGGTGGTCGTGAATTCTTTCAGCTTGCTTTTATTATGTAAACTCCTTCTATTTCAATCATCAAGTAGTCTGGCCTTCACCTGTGTTCTTTCGGGACTTGAATCACAATTTTCTATGATCTTCTGACAGTTAAAATTGTCCATTGAGAAATCAACTGTTATTCTACGGGGTCTACCTGTCTATATGCCTGACCCTTCTCTCTTGCAGCTTTCAATATGCTTTCCTTTTACTGTATACTTAGTGCTTTACTCAAATATGGCATGGGGAGTTTCTTTTCTGGTCCTGTCTAGTTAGTGTTCAGTGTGCTTCCTGTACTGGATGAGCATCACTTTCCATATATTCAGGAAATTTTCTTTTATGGTTTATAGTTTAGATGCCTTTGGCCTGAAATTCTTATCTTTGATCAATGTCCATCATTTCATGATGTCCCAAAGATCACTGGAAGGTCCCTGGATGGTAGTAGGCAGGACTTTGGAGATTCTTGAGGGGAGGGGGCTAGGAGAAGAATCTTGGGGTTCCATGTGGGTAGTGGCTGGGACTTTGGGAAGTGCCAAGCAGATAGTGACTAGAAGAAGGGGTATAGGCTCCTAGATGGGCTGAAGCTCAGTTTTAGGGGGGTCTCAATGGAAGAATGACTGGAAGGAGTAGGCATCAAGTGGCGACCTGGGTCTCTGGACTTCTTGTACAGCTGGAGGTCACACTACACTTTCTATCCTAGTCATCCAATGATAAATATTTGTGGCATTTTTACTCATTGGTTTTGTTTTTCAATTTATTTTTATTATTAATTTATTTTTGTGTGAAAACAATGGATTCTTTTTTGTTCTTAAAAAGAGTTTCTGTATGCAAGAAAGGATAAATCTTCTGTGCCTCCTAACAGTTAGAATTATATTGCTATAAACATTTGCCTATGGGTATTTTTGGAGTTCCTGTTTCAGTTTTTTGGTAAATGGAATTACTAAATAAGAAGAAAATTCTGTATTTGACTTTCTGAGGAACCACCAATGTTTTGTCCATACTGACTGAGAATTTTACATTCCTGTTAATAATGCACAGAATTCTAATTTCTCCAACAATTTTTGTTATGACTATAAAATAAATAATTCTCATCCTAATAAGCCAAAATGACATATTTTATTGTAGCTTTGACTTGTATTTCCCTAATGATTTATGACATTGAGCATGTTTTCTGATGTTTATTGGCCATTTGTGTATGGATTATTTAATGGTATTTTTCATTCAGCCTGTTTTCTGCCCTTAGATCAGAACTACCAGGAATGATTTGGTGATTTATAAAAGATAAAAACACAAGAAACACGAGGAATTGTGAATTGCATTCAGTTTTACACTTGCCTTGTGCACATTTGCCTATTTGATGTTGTACTATAGCTCTATCATGGACCTCATTGATGCTCTCTTTATTTCCTATTATGAACACAAGAATTAAAATTAGGAGAAACAGCCTTTAGGCTAGACAGGATGCACCTGGCTATTCCATGTATGGAAAACAACAATGAGAAATTTGTCTCTCCCAATTAATGTTTAAAAATCTCAAACCCTGGGGCTGGAGAGATGGCTCAGCAGTTAAGAATACTGGTTGTTCTTACAGAAGACCCGGGTTCAAATCCCAGCACCCACATGGCAGCTAGCAATGGTCCATAACTCCAGTCCCAGGCTATCTGACAGCCTCTTCTTTCCTCCACGGGCATTCCACAACATGGGTGCACTTACCTACATACAGGCAATACACTCATACACATAAAATAAAAATAATAAAAATATATTTTTTAAAAAAATCTCAAACCCTTTGACCAAACAGTTGGCCTCTGGACATGTATCTACAGAAAATGAACAGAAATGCGAGAGGGTAAAAAGCTTTATATGGAAAGGCAGCTCTTGTAACATTTTCTTTCTCTTTCTTCCTTTCCTTCCTTCTTTCTTTCTTATTTTATTTCATTTCTGTGAACTAAACTAGCCAAGATTTTACCAATAGACAAATTTTGTTGAATAAACAGAAAACTTGGCCTCATTTATAAACAATTCCCATGTTCTAGTTTGCCTTCAATTACTGTGACAAAACACTCTGACCAATACCACCTTGGGGAGAAAAGGGTCTATTTGGCTCACATCTCCTAAGTCAGTTCATCAGGGCACCATAGTAGGAACTCAGGACAGGAACCTGGACGCAGGAGCAGGAGAACAGGCTATGGAGGAACACTGCTTACTGGCTTCATCTTCTGGCCTCATACTCAACCTGCTCTCTTATACAATACAGGCCTACCTGTCCAGGGTGGCACTCTATTCCACAGCCCACTGTGGGCTGGGCCCTCCCACATCACTCAACAATCAAAAAATGCCCCACCAACATGGCAATGGGAGAAATTCCCCCGTTGAGGCCCCCTCTACCCAGGTGTGTCAAGTTGACAACTAAAGCGTCAGCACAATTGACCCTTGTCAACTTGACACACAAACACAAGCTTTCCATTTCTTGTCCCCAAGGTATAATGTCATTATCATAACATAAAACAATACAACTTTAAAAGTCCTATAGTCCTTAAAAACTCAAGCACTCTAAAAGTTCAAAGGCTCTTTTAAAAGTCTTTCAACTGTGGGCACCTGAGAAATTAAAAACAATCTAAGTACTGTTTTATTTCAAAGGGAAGTCAGGCACAATTCAGCAAAACCCGAGTCCAAGAAAGCAGCTCAACGTTGGACATCTGGGATTCACTCACAGTCTTCTGGGCTCCAAAGGGTTTTGGCAGCTCCACTTCTCTGGCTCTGCTGTCCACAGCACACACATCTTATCTACAGGCCCAGGCTGGCTCCATTCCATACCTCTGCTACCCTTGGAGGTTATCCCATGGGACTGGCATCTCCAAAAAGCTGGGGTCTCCACTGAAACTGAGGCTTCACCTTCACTAGTGAGCTCTTCTGACCTCTCAGGGTGCAAAGCCTCAGATTCTCTCCATGACCCCTTCAATCCTGGGCGGGGGGGGGGGTCCTTACTACAATTGAGACTGCATTTTCGCCAGTGACCTGTCCTAGCCTCTCAGGGTGCCAAGCCTCAGCTGCTCTCTGTGACCTCCTCATGCTTTCAACACCAGAACATGCAGGAGACTCTTACACATTACCAAGTCCTGCTTCCAGCTTGAGATGGAGGTTCAAGTCCCCTGTAGACCATAGCTCTGTGCACTGACCCTGAGGAAATTCTTCCCAGAAGATTTCACCTCAGTGATGCTGGTCTCATGTTACAGTTAATTTTTCAGCTCCAGCTAACCAGCATCAGTTGTCCCAGTAAAGTAAAGGTTTTGCTTCAGTGGTTTTTAATCAGAGGATTTTTCAGCCCCAGCCAACCAGAACTCACAGATTCTCAATTCATGATATCATACAAACAGCCCTGATAGTCTCTGCTTCCCTTTGAAGCTTCATAAGCCAGTTCTCTACCATCCACAACTCTTTTAGCATAACTGTTCCAAACTCCACAGCAACAAACTCTAAGCACTCAATGACTCTTCCAGTTCAAAGTTCCAAACACTTCCACAATTCTCCCAAAAAAAACAAGGTCTGATCTGTCATAGCAATTACTCTACTCTCGGTACCAATTTCAGTTCTAGTTTGCTTTCAATTGCTGTGACAAAGCACTCTGACCAATACCAATCTGGGGAGGAAAGGGTCTATTTGGCTCACATCTTCCAGGTCACAGTTCATCAGGGAGCCCAAGGTAGGAACTTGGGGCAGGAACCCGGAGGCAGGAGCTGGAGCACAGGCCATGGAGGAACACTGCTTACTGGCTTGCTCCCCTGGCCTATGCTCATCCTGCCTTCTTATACAATACAGGCCCACCTGTCCAGGGGTGGCACCACCCTCTGTGAGCCGGGACCTCCTGCATCACTCAACAATTAAGAAAATGCCCCACAGACATGGCCACAGGCCAGTCCAATGGAGGCAATTCCACAATTGAAGCCCCTTCTACCCATATGTGTCAAGTTGACAATTAAAAGCTGTCCAGCACAAAGAATGATATATTTGAATGTAAAAATATTTAAGTTAAAATGTTAAATAAAAAGATCAAAATGCAATGGTAAATACCATATGACTGCAATTTCAGGCTGAATATTCTCTATTCCAAATGCTTTGGATTAGAAATAAATCAAATTTCATAGGAGTTTTTAATTCCTTCAGATTATGGACTACTTGCCTATACTTTAGTGCTTGAGTATTGCTAATCTGGAAATCTGAAATCCCAAACCTTGTGAAATCCAAGCCATTTTGTGGATTTAAATTTATGAACAGTCCTGTGCTTTAAAACTTCTAGATATCAGAGATACTCAACCTATATATAATAAAAACAGAAGAAAAAAAAACCAAATTGTCCTTAGGATGAAGAATAAAAAGCCATACTTCAAGATGATAATGTGATTAACCCTCTGTTCCCATAATATAATATTCTACTGTGTAATAGTGGTCAATACTGAAAGATGTCACTTATAATGTACTACTGAATTATTTTCACATTATTCATGAAAGCCTAACTGTAGTTGGGTGTTTTCAGGCCGCCATAGCACACCTAAATGTTGGGCATACTTCCAGCCTTTCTCTCAGTGTTGCTTATTTTCAGTTTGCCACGTTGAGCTGAAAACTTACGATATAGGGTGGTACTAGCATGATTTTGTTTAAAATCTACATTCCACAGAACAGTTTTCCCTGAAGTCCATTTATTATGCTTTTCTATACAGGTTTTTGTGAAAAAAAGAAAACTGAAATTTAAAATTTATAAAATAATGTGTTTTTACAGGTGTCCCTTTGCCTAAAGTGAACGTTTCTGCCCCCTTGATTGCCAGTTCACCAGTGAAGGAAGCTCAGGAGTACACAGATCCTCCAAGAGAAGAGGCAGATAAAATAAAAGAAGATCCTTTGGCCATCTCTGAACTAGCATACAACCCAAGTGCCAGCCTGCTCCCTACCCCAGTGGATGATGATGAAGTCAACACGCTCTTTGACTGTCCATCTAGGCTCGAGTTGGAAAGAGAAGACACAGATTCATTTGAGGAACTGGAAGCAGATGAAAATGCTTTTTTGATGGCTGAAGAGGAGGAGATGAAGGAGGCTCATCAAGCTCTGTCATGGAGCTATTCCATTCTGACCTGCCATATCTACACCAACCCCCTGGTCGAGAGTCTCTCCAGGCTCCTTGTGGTGGGCCTGGGGCTGCTGCTCTTTGTATTTCCCCTGCTCCTCCTCCTTTTGGAGTCAGGTATTGATCTCTCCTTCTTATGTGAAATCCGCCAGACACCAGAGTTTGAACAGTTTCACTATGAATACTACTGTCCCCTCAAGGAATGGGTGGCTGGGAAGGTCAACCTTTTCTTCTACATGCTGGGTTGCTCATAAAATTCGTTTCTGATAAAATGAAGGGCTATGTTCCAGTAGATGCCAGGTTCTGAATGGTGATGGATCAATCAAGAAGTATTCTTTTCTCATAAATGACTGTTCAAACCCTGATGTTAACTTTCTGTATTTCAGTGCCCTTGTCAATTTAAACCAAATATGGTTATTTTAGTTATACTTCAGAAAGACGGCCTTTAAGTAACTACAAGCATCTTCATTATTATACCGTAATATGTAACACATTGAAGTTAGACATTTCTGTTTTTTATTGTGAGTTATAATGTTCAGAATCAGAATTTTAGTAAAAGTACAAGGGAAATCTTTTTAATACAACTCTTAGTGAAAATAATGTCCTCTAACCAAAGCCTATGCAACTAAATTGATGCTGAGTTTTTCTTCCGATTTTTTAAAAAAATATTTTTATGTGTTCTAAATATTTTGGTAAATTTTTAGAAAAACAAAAGCCTCCTGGAGTTACCTAAATATACATATTGTAAAAGGAATACACAAAAATGCATCAAGAATTTTTTAATGTTTTGGCACCTGTTTGTTTATAAGATATTTTTGACTGGGTAATCTCATAATTTGTTACTTACATGCATATAACATTAAAAAATCTGTGGAAAGAAGCTATAGTAAGTTCTCAAAACAGATACAGAACTGAAGGATGTAGGTATGGAGAATATTAAGTTGACATGATGAAGTCTGTTTTTCAATGTTTTGGACAGATGGTCTTATACTTTCATTTGGATTTTGCCTATGTACTTGAGCTGGGGAAGCAGAATGCTTTTAAAAGAAAATGAAAGTACTTGTAAAAGAAAAATTATATGAGATACACTAGTGAATTACTTATTTTTTATTAATCTAAATGAAAATAGGAGTTAGACATATGGAAGGTAGCAAAGTAGAATTCTGGTGAGACTGACAGGCAAGTAGTGATAGTGCCAAGTGATAGCGCTACATGGAAAGAAGCTTTCTGAGTTCACAAAAACATGTTTAAGTTAATAAAGGGAGAGAAAATTAAAAGTGATTTGGGGAGATCCCTCATACTTACTTTCATGGTGATTCTGTGGAAGAAACTTTCAAAAAGGAAGAGGGAGGGAGGGAGGGGGAGAGAGAGAGATAAATAATGCTTAATTGGTGTGAAAAACCAGAGGTAAATGTATTATTTCAAAAGCCTGCTGAAAACTACATGAGTACATGTGATAGGTGAAAGCTATATAACAAGGAGAGGAGAAAAGGACTGCCAATTATGTTTTATGATGGGCAACATACTCTTTTCCTTTGTGGGTATCTTTATGATATAAACTAATTTCTAACTGCAGTTTCCATTGACACATGAAGGTACCATCAGATGATACACCAATTCAGTTTGGGTGAAGTAGAAAACTGAAGAGAAAAACAGACAAAAGGGGACAAATCCTGTAGTACATTCCTTCAAACCAGCAAAGCCAAGACAGAAAAGGTCCGGTGCTTTCTATTATAGAGTGCCCACCGACACTGTGTTAGGGATAAGGAAGAAAAGGGTTAGGAGTTTAAGATTTCTTTCTATTGGGGCTGGAGAAATAATTCAGAGGTTAGTAGCACTTGTTGCTCTGATCTTACAGAGGACCCAGGTTCAATTCCTAGCACACATGTCAGGTGGCTCACGACTCCAGCTCAAGGGGATCCAACATCTCTGGTGTCCACAAGCCCCTGCGCTCATGTGCACATAGCCATACACAGACACACTCATGCATGCACATAACTTAAAATAATAGAAGTATGTCTTTAAAAAAAATCTATGTTTAAAATAATTTCATTGCCTTCCGTTATGAAGAGACAGACCCACAAATTGAGCCCTAGAGTCCTACTCATTCAGTGCAGCTCTAAGTGGTTTATTGAATGATTACTTTTTGGGTTTTTTTGTCTTTTTCGAGACAGGGTTTCCCAGTAGCCCCAGCTGGCCTGGAACTCACTATGTAGACCAGGCTGGCCTTGAACTCACAGAGATCCACCTGCCTCTGCCTCCTGAGTGCTGGGATTAAAGGCATGCACCACCACACCCGGCAGAATGATTAGTTTTAAAAGTAAGCTTTGAAAGTTAGCTCTTAAGGCTTTGAATTAAATTCATTATAACATATACTTGCTGTTACATTTGCAGAATTCTGCTTTCAATGGCCTTCAGTGATTTACACTGATATACAAATATATTTTCTATAACTAGGACATGAAACAGTGATCGTGGCCATCACTTTGATTAAAGTTTTAATTTTTTTCTTTTTCCCTTATATGACATGAAATTTAATCTCTCTGGCATTAAGGTACTCCAGTGTAGTTGATACAAAATTACTTCCCCTTCTAATTGTGCTTCTCATTTTCTTTGGGGATACTAATCAAAATAACTATCATCTTTTTCTAATACTATTTTATTGATTCTTGAGAATTTCATATAATGTGTTATCATATTTAGACCCTCAGGACTTCTCTCTCTTCTCTTCCCCTGCTTCCCTACCCCTATTGAGTTTAATTTGTGTTCTCCAAATGCCCTTGGGTGTGGGTCCATACCTTGGAGTCTGGTCAACCTACTCAGAATCATACCCTTAAAGGAAACTGACATTCCCTCTCCCAGAAGTTATCAATTACCAATAGTTCCTCAGCTAAGACTGGGGCTTCTTGAATAGTATTTAAGTTAAATATTTTAATGATTTAATAACATATTTCATTGTAAAACATAAAAAAAGCAACAATAAAACAGATATAACATACATTCCAAGCATACAGATCTACAGTGAGGAACAATATGTAGATTGTATTAACATTTCCAGCTAATGCAAAAGTTCATTGCAGAAAAGAAGTATTTTAGGGGAAGACAGAATCAGGACTGCTAAATTTAACCAAGAACCATAAAAACTAAACCTGGGATCCTAAAATGTCATTTAGTTGACCTAGAATCAGAGCTTTTTAGAAATACCCTCTTTTTTTGGTTAGAAAGTAGTCACCAGTTGCCTGAATCAAATGAAATAAGACAATTACTTCAAAAAGATGCTCAGTATGTAATATAATGAGATTCAGAATTCAAAGCAGGTATGTGAGTGCATGAATGTTCCATATAATTTTTTCATGTGTAGTTATATAAAAATAGGTAGTGAGTGTGTGTGCGTGTGTGTGTGTTTGTCTGTAAAAACCTACCTTTCATGCATACCTACCTGTGCTCCTTTTGCCACAGTTGAGGAATTTGGGGTATGTAATTAATTCCTTTCTCAGATACGGTGGATAAAGTCTTGAGGGTTAAACTTTTAATAAAAGTCCTGGGTGGGCATTTGTGGATTTGTATATGCACATACATGCAGTAAGTACACATAACATGTCTTTAGTGATAATAAGGCTATATAATGAGAATGATATAACTAAAGTATTATGTATCCCTTTCTGAGCTTGGAACTCAATGTATAATGTTATGTATTTGCAGCATATTTTGTAGTTGTCTAATATTCATGAACATAACTCTGGGTAAAATTTGCATTGAGTTAACCATTCAGGAGTTAGGAGGGCCATATTACTACGTTTGGAGCTGTATCTAGTGAAATTTGCATTTCTATGTCAACATCCACATTGTTTTATATGTTAACATGGTAACAGGACTCTCTAATAAAATACTCTGGGGTAAAAAATTGTTAATAATTCAGTTTTATTTATGGTAAAGTTGTAGCATCAGTCTGCTGTAAGAACTGTAGAGGAATGCACGGTAAATATTGGAGGAAATTAACATTTTACTGCGGTGACTAAAGCCCAAGCAGAAAAACGAACACTGGAAACATATTCCAATGTAAAGAAACTTATGGTCAAATTAATGGTATCAAAATCCCCCTGGAGACACAGAAAAACAGGGACTAAGAAGAAAGAGAAGATGATTTAGGAGTGTTAGGAATTAGGAGGTCACCACTGGCTAGAGAAGAGTTTTCCTGTTCCAAAAAAGTTGCATCAGACTGTTAACTCTGTCATTCTTGCCGTAAGACATCTTCTGTCACAAGTTTGGAAGACTTTCACTACTGTACTTTTACTGTTCCCTGTCGTGTGTACTCCATAGCCATGACAGATCACCAGCTGAGTCTGGGCATGAATACAAACCCACACCTCACACTGATGCAGAAGGAACACTGTAGATGTAAAGCCAAACTGGCCCTTAGCTATGTTGGCTTCGTGAAAGCGTTGAGTTTTTCTTACTCAGAAGTCCTGAGGATAGTGTTCAGAATCTAGGACAAAAAAAGAGCTCACTGATTAACACTCAAAGGTGAGGTGACTTAGAGTCCTGGCTCTGGCAGCTCTCATCAGTGCTTTTCAGTGTCACTGAAGATATTGACACCCATTCATTTGGAGATTTATACTTAACCCAAGATTTGGATGTAATACGTACCTTTTCTCATTTAAATTACATTGAATTGACTTAGAGATATGGGGACAGGGAACACATTCTTGCTTTTTGGCAGAATGAAGCAGAAATAGTTTTGATAAACAGCTGCAAGATTTGACTCCATGTCAAGAAATCTGCAAAACTGGAATAGTTGGAAGAAAATGTGTGTGCTCTGTCTCTTGTGCTTCAAAGATAGGAATAGATACAGGAAAATTTAGTCAGATGGGGCATATTCTCTTGGAGGCAGGATAATAATAAATTAGTGTCTACTGAGCCTAAAAGCTCTGCGAATACACCCCCTAGCCACTTATGTACAGTGTAATACAATGAGCTTCTGACCCAACTTCATCCCTTCGAGGAAGCATTTCCTTTTTGCCTACATTTTCTGCCAAGTCAAACTGAGAAAGGCTTTCCCACAGCACTCCCAATCTAAAGACCAAGCACTGGGGAGATGCTTCCACCTCTGAGGTGACTTCTTAGATGATTGTGACTGATGGGGTTTGAGTTTCTGTGGGCTAACGTTCTCTACTTGGCAAAGATAATGTGCTAAAGGTCCATGCTTACCTGTCCTGCTTCTTCTCTCTCTTTTCCTTTGTGTCTTGGACCTGCTTTGGGGCTTCCAGTCTCTGTGCCATAAACAGACTCAGCAGGACCTCACATGGTGGGCCCATGCAAGATTGGTTCTCCACATTCCAGCTTCTGTCTCTGACTGGACAGATAAGTTTGTGAGTCAGCCCAGGGACTCAGCTGTCATCACTTCAGAGAGGAAGAAAGAAACAGACTTCGGTTGTATTCTCCCATTATTAATAAAGCTGATTCGAACTCTGTTCTGGCCATTGTTTTCTTTATCTATCACGAATGGGAATGCTTTCATGATGGTAGGTAACACTTAGGATTTTTAACTTCCAATGTCACAATAAGAAAAGGATATAGAAGGCTGATCTTGGTTGCGCCTCAGGCATCAGAGAATGTTTGTTACCAACATTGGCCCTCACAGTCTTGACCAATTAGAGAAGAAGCAAGGAATAGTAATGAATAGAGAGCTGGTTGGAACCACATGTACCTATTCAATCTTTACCTTTAATTACTGTAAATATCTCTTGGGGATGGGCACCAAGGCCATTTATATGTAAAATAATACTCTTAATAGGCTAAAGAAATATTTTCTGTAAGTTATGAGTAGTAAAACACACCTTGCAAATTCCAGCAGCTTCTCCTGCTAGCATCCATTACCTTTATTTTTCTCATCCACAGAATTATTATTATGATTATTGACTTTTCAAAGAGACTACTTTCAGGGTAGTGAACATATTAAGATAACAATGTTAGTCTGTACTGTGTGTGGCAACTATACTCTTCAGCAGAAGTTGAAAACTTTGCATTCTGGTTTAGGTATTAATCTCCTATAGTTTTGTTAATGTGAATCAACTCCTTCCTCTATGCATTCAATCTGAGTTTCATAACATGGCTGAGCTTCTTGTTCTGCAAGTGATTAATCAGACTATGACTCAAAATGGAGGCCATATAAATGTATCGCTCCTTGGTGAAACAGTTGTCATATAATTCCTGTGAATCGAGACAGATACCTTTTTCAGTGACAAAGGGTATTTTGAATAAGCATGATACCACAACAGGAATCATCTAGCAGAGTTCTAGGCACTATACCTATTACATTGCCTGATGACTTAGGTATCTTCTTTGAACAAAATTCTGCTTGGGTGTTTCTCTGTAACAGTGACAGAATGAAATAGAGCAGAATTATTGCCCTACAGCAATGACTCTTTCACTTATAACTAACACTCTGATTAGAATTTGGAAGTGCACTTCAGTGGTAGAGGGCTAACTTAGCATGTGTGATGCCCTGGGTCTAGACCTTGTCCTCAGCACTGTAAAGAAGGGAAACCAGAACAAAATCGAAATTCACTGCAATGATTAGTACCATATTTTTTACCCAAAGATTATAAATTACAGAAAAGACAATTTTAAAACAGTCTTTGGCTATCCTAATGCTAACCATAACTCTATACTTAAACATGAACATAACCCCAACTTTAACCCTAACCCTAACACTAGCTTACTCTTAAACGTAACCCAACCCCAGTTTTTCATTTGTTTCTTTGCTTTGTTTTTTGAAGCAGCATCTCCCTGTAGCCCCAGCTGACCTGGAACTTACTATGTAGACCAGACTGGCCTCAATCCCACAGAGATCTGCCTACCTGTGCTTCCCAGCTACTGGGATTAAAGGCATGTGCCACCAGCCTGGCTCTAAACCTAGTTTTAAACCTAATCCTAACCCTAAACCTAAGCCTATCCCTAAGCCTAAAACTAACCTTAAGCCTATCCCTAATGCTAAATCTAACCCTATCACTAGTCCTAACCCTAACCCTAATCTTAACAGTAGCCTAAGCCTAACAATAACTTTAGCCTTATCCATATCAAGAAACATAACCTAGCTTAAGCACTAGACCTAGGCCTGATAATAATGTTAACTATAAAACTAGCTTAGCCCTAATACTAACCCTAATCATGACCAAAACTCTAACCCTGACTGTACTCCTAATCTAACCATATCCCTAAATCTAAACCTTTCTCTAACCGTAACTATAGCTAAGCAAAAACTAGCCTATCCCTGACTCTATTCATAACCCTAACTCTAGCAATAACTCTAATCTTTTTATAACCTAAAACTATCCCTAATCTTACCACTATCCCTAATAGTAAACCTAGACTTTATCTATCCCTAACTATAATCCTATTCTTAACTCTAAATATAACACTAACCCTAACTCTAGCAATAGACTAAACATTAACTCTAATCCTACCCCTAATCCTAACTCTACTCCTAACTTTAAACTTAACCCTAACCATAGACATAACCCTAAATTTAACCATAGACCTAACTGTAGCATTAACCCAAACTCTAAACCTTTCCAATCCCTGGTCTGAGGCTTATTCTTAGCTCTAATCCCAAACCTAACCCTAAACACACACTCTCACATACAGTCACCACATTGTCATACAATAACACAAACTCAGCAGTCTCTTTCTTAGAAACCGTAACAGTAACCCCAGCCTTAAACCTAGCTCTAAATTTAAACCTAACTCAAACCTAATTCATAACCTTAACTACATCCATAACTCTACTCCTAACCTAACACTTCACCTAACCCTAACTCTATCCCTCACCCTAACTGTATCCTTAAACTAATCCTAAAACTAACCATGCCACTAAGCCTGGTCTTAGCCCTAACACAGCCTACATCTAGGACCCTAACCCTAACCCTAGCTCTAATACTAACCTTCACCATTACTACAACTCTAGGCCAAACCCTAACCCTAACCCTATTCCCGTCCTAAACATAACTCTAAACTTATACTTAAACCTTTATCTAAACATGTACCTGGAGAATAGAGAGCACCTGTTGAATAGACCTCTGTCTTTTGTGGACAAGAGAGCACTGTGGGTCCAGGCCTCCAACTCTGGCTTTTCCAGAGGGCACCCTGCAATTAAACCTCTGACTCCTGCTTGTGAGACCAGGTCTTCTGTTCCTGCAGGTCTAGAGAGCACTATAGGAATAGAGCTGTAACTCCAAAGGAATCTGAGAGCACCAAGAACCAGGCCTCCAGCCCTACTGCTCTCAGACATCAATATAGGACCTAAGCTCCCACTCCAGACTAGGGTTTGATTCCAGTGGTTTCTAAGCTCAACTGGGTGTGGGGTTTTGACTTCTAAGATCCCAGTGGTTGCTACAGGACTGGTAGCCTATACTGTTGTGGTCCCAGTGTTTACTTCAGACCTGTGTCTCTAGCTATAGTCCTGAGATAGCACATAGATCTAATGGGTCTGATTTATGGTATCCTTCCCCGTGTAAAGTCACAAAGTCCAAGCGGTGACAGGGTATTTACCCAGTCTGGTTGTCTTGGGGCTTTATCGTGTGGACTCCAGTCTTAGTTCTGTTGACACATGGCCAGGACAGGATCACCTGGGTGACTCTACTTCATGGTCATTGTCAGGTTTCACCACAGTCCCTGTGGCTGAGCCTCACGTAGTTATGCCAATAAGAAGAGTAACAGAAAACAAAATATCCAAATACTCTTAGAAGAAAGGAAAGTCAAAATTGAAATACAAATTCACCCAAACAGATGCATAAAACATAGAAAAGAAATAATCTTATAAGAGAATCCAAAACTACAGAGATAGCAGAAATGTCTGGATAAAATTCAGTCTTCATTTTTAAAAGAATTAATGATCATGTAGAATAATTAAGCAGACAGATGCATTAATTAAGGGAATATATACAACATTGACAAGATAGTGTCCAAAGTCAATGAAATAGTCAGTAAATTGGAGGACAAAGTCTGTAGGAAAAATTCAGCAAGGGGTATGAAACACTGAAAATAAACCAAACAAAAATACTTCAAAGGTAGGAGACGGGCAATCAAATAAAAAAGCCTCAGTAGATACCATCATTCACAAACAAGACCATGCATAAGAACGAATTTTAGGACTAGAGGACAAAGTCAAGATAGTACAAACAGACATATGTAAGAAAAAAGAATAAGCAGCATTAATAAAACTTCTAAGTCTTGAATACTTTCAAGAGGCTAAACCTCAGAATTCATGGTGTGGAAGGAACAGAAATAAAAATCAAATGAAATACACTATTTAATGAAATTATAGTACAAAACTTCTCAAGTCTAGAAAAAAAAGTGACATCCAAACACAAGAGGTATCTAGAACTCCAAATAGACATGAGCAGAGAAGAAACTCTCTACAACACATCAAAGTCAGGGTGTCAAAAATTCAAAGTTAAAGAAATAATCCTAAAAGCAACACGAGAAAAGCATTAACTCACACCCAAAAGAATAAACATCAGAATTATCTCAGACTTTTCATCAGCGACCATAATTACCAGAAAGCATGGAATGAAATATTTCAAACTCTGAAATTAGATAAATATGAACCAAGAGTTGCTATACCCTGAAAAGCTGTCTTTCAAAATTGATGGGGAAATAAGGATATTTCAAGACAACACAAATGCATGACAACTTAGCCAGCATTGTAGAAAATTCTTAATGAAATACTTTATGGGAAGGAAGAAGAAAGATAGTCTCCTCAAAGTGAATATATCAAAGTGTACATGCCATGAAAAGTACAGCTAAACACACTAGGCTCCAGAAAGAAACAACATCCAAGACAGCAACTCAGGATATCCTTACAACTAATATAGGTAAAGGAAAAGAAATACCCATAATTCAGCAAACCATAACATTACCAAACAAATTTATAAGAAATAGGAAACCCTGCTCACATGTGTATTCTCTTGCTAAGCCTCTTGCTCACCCACATTCCCTTCCTGTTCAGCCACGAATTGTCCTGTTCACCAGTGTTCCCTCTTGCTCTCAAATGTATCATCCCTCACACATGTATACACTCCCGCTCACCCGTGTGTCTTAGTGCTAACATGGGTATCTTCCTGTTTACTCCTGGCTCTCTTGCTCAATCGTGGGCCCTATTGCTAACCTGTCACCTTCTGCTTACTGGTGTATCTATATCTTCACTTGTGTCAACTCTTGCTCACCTGTAGACGATTCTGCTCACCTATGTGTCTTCTTGCTCATGTGTGTCTTCCCACTCATATCTGTGCCCTTCTGCTCACCCAGGTCCTCTCCTATTCACCTGTGGTGTGTCCTCCTGCTAGCCCATGTGCCCTCCTGTTCACCCACATGTCCTCCTGTTTACTTACAGTTTTCCTTTGGCTCATCCCTGAGTCCCTCTGTTCATATGTGTATCTGTGCATATCTCTAGTTAACCCATGTGCACTCCTGTTCACAAAGGTGTCCTCCTGCTCACCTGTGTGTCCTGCTGCTCTCCTCTGTGTCTGCCAGCTCACATATCTCACTTTCTACTCACCTGTGTGTACACCAGCCCGCTGGTATGTCATTCTGCTCACCCATGTGTCCTCCTACTAGCCCGTGTGCCCCCGCCTGCGGGGACCCTGTACAGGTAAAGCTCGAGGGGGACCACTCCCTGAAAGGAAAAACAGGCGAGAAAGAAGCAAGTCCACTTGTCAAGGGTCATTTTATTGTATTGCAAGCCTTTTTTTTATATACAGTTTGTATTTAGAGGGGGTTGAAGAAGTTGGTCAAAGGTTACAGCATTCTTATGGGTATGGGAGGGGGACTGAGCAATTCAGCAACGTGACTGACCACCAGATGTTCCAAGAGATTACTGCATGACTCATTTTTCCGAGAACTGTTTGCAAGAGGAAGAGAAAGATAACCTTTCCCTAAATTCTTTCCCAAGGTTACTTGTGCAAGCAGAATGTCCTGCTTAAGTCAACTGTTTGTAGAGCTATATTATATTTTTTGGTAATGAATGTTGTTTCTCCAGCTCCCGACACCCATGTGTGCTCCTGGTAACACATGTATATTCCTGCTCACCCATGTATCTTTCTGCTCACATGTGTATCCTACTGTTGCCCCATGTGTCCTCCAGCTCACATGTATCCTTCCACTCACCGTTATCCCCCCTGTACACTCATGGGCCTTTCTGCCCAATCTTGTACACTCATTCTCACCCTTGATAGCTCCTATTCACCCATGTATCCTCCTGCTCCATTGATCACCCTCCTGCTTATCCATGTACCTTTCTGTTCACCTGTATTTCTTCCTTCTCAGCCACATGCTCTCCTGAATACCTATGGCCCTCCTGCTCATCAGTGTATCCCCACACACCAGCATTTTCTCTTGCTCACCAATGTGCTCTTGTGCTAACCCATGTACCCTACTGTTCAGCTGTGTATCCTCCTGCTCACCAATGTACCCTAGTCTTGCTTGCATGTTCTCTTGTCCATCTGTGTGTCTTCCTGCTCATATACATCTCCTGTACATTCCTGTGTCCACTGGCTCACATGTATATACTCATGTTCATCCATGTCTTCCTGCTCACATGAGCTTCCTCCTGCTAATCCATGTGCTCTCCTACTTATACGTGTATCCTCCTCCTAACTCATGTTCTCTTGCTCCTCCAAGTAGCACCTTGGTCCTCCGTATGCACTTGTGTCCATGTGCTGCCTCCTGCTCACCAGTGTGTCCTCCTTTGGCCTGTACACCCTGCAGCTCACAAGGGGTTCTTCTGCTCCCTGGTGTCCTTTCCTGTTAATGCATGTGTCCTCTTGCTTGTCCATGTACCCTCCTTACCTGTATCTGCCTGCAAACATGCTTATTCTCCAGCTCACCTTTGTGATATTCGGTCCTGCTACTTCCCCCTGTTCACACGTGTGTACTCCTGCTAAGTTATGTGCTCTCCTGCTCAACTGTGTCCTCTCCTGTCAACCTGGGTCCTGCCTGCTGACCTGTCTGCCTTCTTCATCACCCATATGTCATCCTGTTTACCCCCTTGCTATGCTGTGTGCACTCGTGCTTACTCTTATATGTGCCCTCTTGCTCACCAGTGAGCCCTCCTGCTCACCCGTGTGTCCTCCTGCTCACCTCTGTCCTCTTGTGTTCACCCATGTGCCCTCCTGATCACTTGTGAATCCTTCTGCTCAGTGTGTGTCCTGCTCTTCTGAATGCCCTCCTTGTCATCTGTGTGCCATCATAATCACCCCTTTTCCCTCTTCTGGGTGAATTCTTGCTCACTGTGTCCCCTCATGCTCGCCCACATGCTCTCCTGACCACCAGTGTTCATTTTTGCATGCTCATGTGCCTGCCTGCTCACCTGTCCTACCTGGTCATAGTGACCTGAACGCCTTCCTCCTCACACGGGTGTCATCTTGCTCACCCTCGTTTCCTCCTGCTCACTTGTGTGCCCTTATGCTCTCTATTGTATCCTCTCACTCATCCACATGTCCTCCTGGTCACTCACGTGCCTTTCTGGTCACCTGTGTACCCACCTGCTCATCGATGTTTCCTCCTATTCACATGTGTGTGTCCTATTGCTCACAAGTGTTTCCTCCTGCTCACCCATCGTACCACTGCACACCAGTGTGTGCCTTCATGCTCACCAGTGTTCTTTCCTGCTCAGCTCTGTGTCCTGCTACTCGCCCATGTGCCCTCAGACTCACCCCTGTTAACTCCTGTTAACCAAGATGTTGTCATGTTTACTGTTTCCTCTCCTTTAGCCCATGCGTCCTCCTGATCTTCAGTGTCCACTTCTCATCTGTGTGCCCTCCTGATCATCTGTGTTACATCCTTCACACCAATATTTCCTCCTGCTCCCCTATGTGCCCACCTGCTCACCATGTGCCCTCTCGCTCACCTGTGTTCCTTCATTCTTATCTGTGTATCCTCCTGCTCACCCATATGTCCTGTTCACCAATGCCCTTCTGATAACCCTGTCTCCTCCTGCTAACCTGTATATCCTCCTGTGAATCCACGTGTCCTCCTGCTTTGCTGTGTCTCCTCCTGCTCACACATGAGCACTCTTGCTTAACCATGTGTCTTCCTGTTTACTATGTGCCTTCTTATTCATCCGTGGCCCCGCCTACACACCGTGGTTCCATACTGCTCACCCATGTGCCCTCCTACTCAACCTGTGTTCCCTCCAGCTCAATCGTGTTTCGTCCTGCTTACCTGTGTGCTCACCTCCTTACCTGTGTTCCCTATTACTCACACAAGTTTTCAAGCCCTTATGGCCTCTTGCTTACTGGTGTGTCCTCCAGCACAACACACCCTCCTGACCAACTGTGTGCTGTCTATCATCTGTGTTCCCTCCTGCTCACCCAGCGCCTGCATTGCTCACCTGTATGTCCTCTTGCTCCTGTAAGTGCCCTCCTACAAAACCCTGTACTCCTCTGCTCATCTCTGTGCTCCCATGCTCAGCCTAGTGTCCTGCTCACCTGTGTCCCCTCCTATTCACCCATGTACCGTCCTCACCCATGTGCCTTTCTGCTCACCTGTGTGTTCTCCTGCCCACTCAGATCCCGTCACGCTCATCCATGTTGTTCTGTTGCTAACGCATAAGCTATTACCTGCATGCTCTCTTACCCACGCATTAGAATTCAGACTCACCAAGTGTGTTCTCCTCTTCACCCCCA